TCTAAAAATACATGCAGTTGAAATTAATGACTGCCGTCCCAACAAGGAACAACTGAGCGGCTCTCCGTCAGAGGGCAGCTAGCTAGTGAGGCGGTCCAACTGAGCAGGCGTTAGAACTAGAACTTTGAGCGGTTCTAGCTCGCTCCTCGCTCGCTGAGGAGTCGCGAGAGTGAGATAGTATCTAGCTTGGGGGCTGAACTACCTGCCCAAGGAAGGACGACCATGTACTACTTGAGCGCGAGGGCTGTCTTTAAGATCCAGTACGGCTACGTAGCAGGATCACCGCTTCTCATGCCCTTCTCCATTACCACCCTAGAGATGACGACGGCATCCGTAGTACATGACACCAGTTTTCCTGCGAGACTGGGGAAGGTTCCCCCAGTCTTCGTTGATTAGTCTTCGCTCGTAGATTTTCAAGGTATACGCAGTCAGCTTGATGCCACAACAGTTGGAGCACTCTGTTGTGTCTCAATTCCGTTTGATGGTGGATACAACTGAGCTGCTCCTCCAAGCATCCAGCACCTTCCTTCGGCAGCTACGTTGCTCAGGAAGTGAGTGAGCTAACCTAACCCACGCACTTCAGGCGGCACGCCTTGAGCGGTACCCTATATAAATTCAATGTCTTCGCACCTTCAGCCTTTCTAACTCTCAGCCGACTTCATCCTACTGAAGGTGATGAGTAACTCTGTAGTAACGTCTCTCTCCGGGCTGTCTTTGCGCTGAAACCTTCGTCTAGCACCCAAGTATTCTTCCCATCCCTCTCTGAGCTTCGCTGATTTCCTTTGAATGACACCGTTAGGTTTTTTGCTTTTCTCGATGGATTGCATACTGCACTGCCACGCTTTGGCCAGGCGAAAGATGAACTTGTCTCCCATTTTTCAACGTCTTGCACATGGCGTTCGTTCCTAGCCTGCGCTATGGCTGCCTCAGCAAATTTCGCAACCCTGGTAGGCAGCAAGATCCTGTCTTTTACCAGCGCTTGTATGGGTCTTTTTGTCTAGCTATTTGCTGGTCCTTCTCTCTCCAGATCCATGCCGCCTTGTCTCCCTCTACTCCATCTCGCGTCTCAGCAGTGCGCTGCTTTTGCTCTTCGAGCATGACCTCAACTGGGCTGGTCCGCGACTGGCCCATACGGGTTTAGTATCCCGCATCCGGTATTTGTACACTGAGTTCGTCCTGGGGTTGAGTCTAAGGAGAGTGTGGCCGAACGGGCAGCCCTTCCACCAATGATGCTGGCAACAATCGCCTGCCTCCAGCAACCAACTTCAGTCATTCTAGCAGCTTTCACCTATCCTCCTATCGGCTTATACCCTCATTTTCTCGTAGAGGCTTGTTGCAATGTCTACCTGAGGTGGTCTGCTTTGAGGACTCAACTCATCACCTGAGAACATCTTGATGTTCTCAACACTTCCGAAGCATGACCTTCTTGTCGATTTCCGTTTGTCTTCCTCCACTTTTGTAGGTTACTTTCTTAGACTTTCTTTCGAAAAAGGTGCTGTAAAGCGATGGGTTGTGGGCTGTGAGCAAATCATTGGCCTTTCAGATCAAGCTACGTTGAGTCGGTTCCGAAATCGATTTTATGGCCTCGTTTATGGTCGGGAAGAATTGATTCTTCTGTTTTTTAGCAACCGGATTGCGCCGAGGGTGCGTACGCGGTCAGTACAGTCCTCGACTAGTCCATCATCCACGAGCTTTCTTTTGGTGTCTCCTCTAATGTAGAAGAGTGTAATCCCTTCTCTATTCTTGCGAGTCTTGGTTCCCTTTTATCGCGATTCCTAGGCACTTGTCACTCGCATACTGACCATAAATCTTGGGCTGGATTTTTCTTTCTCACCGTCACCCCCCGGATGACGTCCTAACATTATCACCTATTCTGTTGTAGCTCTGAGACATGTCCGTTGGGTTCTGCAAACCGGGGAATGCAGTTTTCGTGAGGAATGCTTTTACCACTGCCGGAATGAACTTGAAAATCCCGGCCGCCTCCGCTCGGTTGGCTAAGCACTATATCAGCTGAAACCCAGACTTTAGGAGAAAAACTGTCTGATCATTTACAGCTACGACTACTTTCCCTTACCTTGAAGGCAATGTTTGCTTTTTCGACATCGTTTATGTCTATGGCTTCAATAAGCATCTCCACAAGGTAGAGCAAGTGGCATCGAAATGTTGTCAGGTGACCTCTAATGTTGAATTCCAAGCTTGCGCTAAGGATATTGAGAGAGTACTTTGCTATTGGTGAGTTTGGTGACCGAATCTGAAATCATCACTACAGACACAAGATCAACAGGTTGATTCAAACTTACAGAGTGCGTCTTGAGTTTTATGATGTTATGGAACTTGTTGCTAAGCACCCACTTCGTTAGTGTTCAGAAACTTGAAGGTAGTGGGTATGATGAATTGATATGGCCTATAGGGTAAAAATGGTAATGCCTATGTTTTCTTGCAAGTGCTGCCTATAATGTGTGTCTGAACAGGCGCTGTGCGGCGAGTTTTTGAAGAAGTTTGTTCTTCTAAGCGCTTCAGCGAGATATCATATGCCGACCGCTGTCATCTACAACCTGCACATCTACAAGTGGCGCACTGCAGCATGATCGCTATCGGATCAGTTGTTTTCACCAGGATGCTGAGCATATTGCAAGCTTTTCTTGCAAGTGCTGCCTATTTTTTTTCAGTTTTACAGTCTTCAGAGCTCATTTTGGATATCTCCCCACTTGATACCCGAATATTCGATTTGGTTTTCAAAAGATTTGTCATCGTATTATTTTTGGTTAGGAGAGTTTTTAAGTTCAAGCTTCCTATTGCCTAAAATGATGTGTCTTCATAGCTGCATTGCGGTCGTCCTGTTTTTCTAACGATTGGTGGCTCACGGAACAATGATCTGTCGCTCAGCTACGGGGGATGTCAATACCACATCTAACGTAAGATTTGAACATAGTTGGTGGGACCACTACTCGCTATTGTGCTGTTTCCTATATATACCTTTTCGACTTGCACTTTACCGCATTAAGGAGCCGATATACACACTCGGGCCAATTAAGTATGGCAGAGAACGTCATATTATGCCCTAAGTGCTCCAGCCTTCCGAAGTCCTGCTTAGGACATCGTCCCATTTCTTAACAACAAACCAATTTTTCATACGCCAAAATGGAGCACGACCGTTGTAAAAACCACAGAGCGCCATAGCATTGAAAAGTTAGTAGTTTGGATGATCGTGATATTTTGCACAACCTCTCCATTTCCGAATATTAACAGGTCTTTGCTCCATAGGGTCCGTTTCCGATTTGCATTGTTCATGCTTGAAGAAATTTAGGGAAATCACAAACACATTCAAGTTATATAAACAGGATAAGGTTTGTGTTAGTCTATGAGGCTCATCAACAGCGAAGATTGCAGGATAAATGCTGAAATGCTGTTTATAGGAAAGGTGACATGAGCCGGAATAGTAAAAAGGAGGAAATGCCTTACTGCTCAAATACTTTTGGAAACACTCTGGAGCGGGACAAATAGGTGGCAGTACACAGTAATATCATTACTAACTTGGATGGCGCCTGAAGAAAATCGACAGTGATATACTTGCTATGGGTAAACTAAATTATATTTTTCATGAGTGGGTTTTAATGAGCAGAGTAAAAAGTGATGCAGACTGGGTGATCCACGTTGCGCCGGCGTTCGTTCGTTCGCGACGGCGACGGTTCAAACAAGGAGAAGTGACATCATTCGTCCCAGGACCATACCATGAGAGAAAACGACATTTCTCTTACTTTAGACGTCGCACCGTCTTTTGTATACATTCGCATAAAGTAATGACGGCAATATGGCGTCCGTGAACTTCTCAATATCATCGTTCGTCAGAAAGTACGACTGCGGAACCTGAATGTAACTTTGAATAAAGGAGTCTGAGGGGCGAGGGGTGATGTAGAATTGCACAGCATGATCGTTCCATCAGCATTCATCAACATACTTTCCTCTTGTGCTTCTTGATGCGCTCCTCCTTGTATCTATTGACTATCTCTTGCAAAAGAATTTGAAGAAATACTAGTACAAGTAATGTGTGGCCGCTTTCATTCGATGGGTGCATAAAGGGTTCTACCAACTTCATCATCCTTTCAAGATGACGCTGACAGCTAAATTGAATCAGATTAAGTGTGACGATCAATGGCGTTTGGGTAAGGTATACAAATGAATAAGTAAATAACGAATACCGATCTGAGAAGAAAGAGACATAACTTCCTCACTGAAGCTGATTTTGTTTAACGCCTACTTGCTCTACGTACACTCGAGATCCCTGAGATCGGGTAGGCGTGGCCGCATTTTTCAACTTACCCTCAAGGCGTCTACGCTTCTGATGCGATATTTTCATCTCGACACAATCGTTGTCGTGTCTCTGTCCAATACAGAACAAGATGACAGTTGTCCCAGACTGGAATATTCCACTAGTAACCAGTTCCTTACAGTGTTCGAATGCTCCGCCTACCCGATCTCAGGGATTTCGAGTATATCTCACGGCACTATTCGTGAGTAACAAACGGATGTTTTCGCCCTTTTATATCATCACCAGCCGGCTTTGCCGGCTGATGCCTGCACGCCTTCCTCCGAGATAAAGATTGCAAGGTTGGATTGCTGAGCGGACCCGGCTCCGCCGCGCTTATCATTCTCCTCACCGGCTTTTCTTTTATACAGATAGTCAACAATCTTTGACCAATATGTTCATACGAGTAGCTCACTTATAGTGCACTACATGATTCTTTTATATAGTGAGGTTGTAAACAATCACACATTGCCTCAAAGTGATACCAAAACATGGATTTTATCCGCGACCCTGCTAGCGGTTGATCCTTCCTCTATTTAACATATCGCTTTCATTGGCGCTTTTATTGCCACACTTGTGATGAGTTTCTACCAAAACTTCATTTATGCTTCCCACCGTACTCTCCCTCACTAATCCCACCACCCACATTATACCCTCCCCACTCCCACTTGCCCCACCCACTCCCCATCCCGGCCGCTGCACGTGCTCACGTCCACCTGCCACGCGAGCAGCTCGTGCAATGGTTTGGAGTGCACTACATGGTTCTCTTATATAGTGCAGGGTGTTATCACAATCAAAACATTGGATTGATACATCTGCACCAACTGGTTTCGCCACCGGCTAGCGGTCGTACACTCTCCTACACTGACGTGCTTTTGAACCGTGAAGCTTTTGCGGACGGACAAACATCAATACATACATACCTCGACAAAACCGAAACAATTAGTGGTTTTATAGAAATGTAAGCGAGAAGGATATCCGTAAACGGTTCTGTCGTTCCTCTTCACAACCCAATCTATCGCTAGCGTTAGCTCACATTAAGAAGATTTACAGCATTCAGGAGTGTCGCAGACTCGCCCCGTGTCACCGGGGCGCACCGTACGAACCGGCATCTCGTATGCATGTGGGTAAACACCAAAGTATGCAGCCAGCATTATCGCGTTCGTGATCCGCCCCACTAGAGCTTATGGACAAGCTGCCATCACCAGCATTTCTCTTCTCATAGGTGGACTGAACCGACTTGCATTCTGGACAGTTGTTGAGCCCTCTTAAATCTAAACCTTCCCACCTGTTCCGGTCGCGATGTTCGTGGTGTACTCTCCAATCCTACCGTCAAACACTCTATTTTCTCGAAACATCACAGACCTCCGACTTCGGAACGAGTACTGTAACTGCGTTTTTCGATGTCCGCTTTACACTAATTTCCAAAACGAGTAGACCTTACTTTATCCGAAAAGGCAGACGGATTGACATACATTATTACAAGTTTCATATTTTCGGACTCAATAAAACGCATATAGCAGTTGTGCCCCCACAAATCCTATCCGCAGCCTCATCGTGGCGTGGGGGTGAACGGTTTTGGACTGTTCCAAAAACGTACCAATGCGGAGGGTGCCACGTCAGAGCCTGGCGAGCTACGCGTGGTCAATTTCTTCTCGCCGAAAACAGTAACAAGTTATGGGCCTCATTCCCCTGAACCTGAGGGAACCACCGACAGGGCGACGTCGGCTGGGACCGCTCGGGCGAGGCTGCTAAAATCACAGGGCCAATGGAGATTTCAAGTCGCCCAGGACTAGGATGACGATCTGTACTTTCAACGCACGGACGCTTGCATCGGAAGCTCACATCGAAGATCTGATGTTGCAAGCCAGGAAGATCAAGTACGACGTCATCGGACTGACCGAGGAGGCATCGCCCGCTACACGCCGTATACGAGACTGGAGAAGAACTGTTCCTCGGAACATGCGACAGCAGAGGCGTTGGCGGTGTGGGCGTCCTCGTCAACACGCACTTGGCCATGAACATCGATTCGTACGAAAGTCTGACGACCCGAATCGGACGTTTGCGATTGAGAAGATGTGGTTCAACTCCAGCTTTGACAATCTTCGTCGCCTACGCACCAACATCAAGCTACGACGAGGATGAGCTCGAAGCGTTCTATATGGAATTGGAGAAGTTCTACAAGGAAGATCATACCTTCTTCAAGGTCATCGTCGGTGATTTCAACGCTAAGATCGGACCAAGAAGAACGGCTGAAGAACTTCACATCGGAACTCACGGAACGGAGTGGAATGAGCAGGGTGAAAGGCTGTCTGAGTTTATCATGTCGACCCACACCATCCATGGTAACTCGCAGTTCCAGAAGCCCTACTCTACGCTGGACATGGGAGTCTCCTGGTGGACAATTCCATAACGAGATCGACCACATCATCTGCAATCGAAGGTTTTGCCTGACCGATGTCGCTGTTGTCCCTAAATTCTACACGGGATCCGACCAGTCTCCTTCGCGCAAGATTCCGCTTTTCGATGCGAGGAGAGAGCCGCAAAGTTCAAGAAGCGAAGCCCCAAGACCACCATCAACTGGGATCACTTCACTTCTCTCGCTGGGCTCTGGGAGGATTCTGTCATTGACAACATCGACGAGGAATACGAAAGGCTTGTTGCACATCTTCACGACTGCGCCAAGAAGTCAGAGGGTTCCAAGATTACCAAGAAGCGTCTATCTCTGGAAACTCTCGAGCTGATTCGCCAACGTGGAGCCGCACGAGCCGCAGGCAATTACCAGCTGACGTCTGAGCTTGCGAAGCTATGCAGAGAAGCGATAAAGGAAGACCTCAAGGAGAGAAGAGCAGCAGTACTGGTGGAAGCCGCAGAGGCTGGGAAGAGCATACGCACGCCGCCGCGACTTCGCCAACTGTAAGACCAAGATGACCGCCCTCCGACGTCCGGATGGAACAATCACCGCATCCAGAAGGGCAATGGAGAAGGTCATCCACGACTTCTACTCGGATCTCTTTGACAGCCACGTCCACCTGCAACCATACCGCTTGGAGCAGGATGGATATGTCGTTCCTGCAGTTCTCTCTTCCGAAGTCCGACACGCCATCTCGTCGGTGAAGAATCGCACCCGGTCCCGACAGGATCAGACCCGAACATCTGAAGAATCTTCCGCCAGTTCTCGTCAAAACTCTGGCTCGACTCTTCACGCGCTACCTGTCGGAATGCAAGGTACCCACCTCGTGGAAAACCAGCAAGACTGTGTTGCTGTACAAGAAGGGAGACCTGTACGACATTGGCAATTATCGCCCAATCTGCCTGCTGTCTGTAGTCTACAAACTCTTCACACGAGTCATCCTGAACAGGATTGGCAGAACACTAGACGACAGCCATGCGAGCAAGCAGGGTTTCGAAGAGGATTCAGCACGATCGATCACATCCACACGGTAACGATTGAAGTATCGCGAGAGTACAAGATGCCGTTATGTCTCACGTTCATCGACTTGAAGAAAGCCTTCGACTCCGTTGAGACAGAAGCGGTTATCGAAGCCCTGGGCAACCAGGGTATTCCTACTCAGTACATCAGGATTCTTCGTGAGCTCTACAGCAACTTCACGACCAAGATTTCACCATTCTACAAGGAGATCATCATTGATGTGAAGAGAGGGGTCCGACAGGGCGACACCATCTCGCCCAAGCTCTTCAGCGCCTCTCTCGAGAACGTCATGCGTCAACTGGAATGGGAAGACATGGGAGTGAAGATCGACGGTCGGCAACTACACCATCTCCGCTTTGCTGACGACATCGTTTTGATAACACCAAACATCGAGCAAGCGGAACGAATGCTGGCTGAATTCGACTGCGTGTGGAAGAATCGGTCTACGGCTGAACCTAACGAAGACGATGTTCATGAGAAACGGATTGGTATCTGATGCCCCATTCACGCTCAACGGAACGACCATCTCTGAATGCTCTAGCTATGTGTACCTAGGTCGTGAAATCAATATGATGAATCCAGAGCTGAGCAGGAGGAAGCGAGCGGCTTGGGGAGCCTTCAAGAACATCGAGGGAGTAGCGAAGAAGACGAAGAACACCAAGCTCCGTGCCCACCTCTTCGATTCCGCGGTCCTTCCTGCCTTGACGTACGCCTCAGAGACTTGGACTCTACGAAAGCAGGATGAGCATGCGGTCGGCGTTATTCAACGCGCCATCGAAAGGGCGATGCTCGGAGTTTCCCGCTACACGCAAGTGAGAGAGGGAATCCGGAGCTCCGCACTCCGCCAACGATCGAAGATCAGAGACGCCGCCGCATTTGCCAAGGTTTCGAAGATCAGGTGGGCCGGACACGTCATGCGTTTCGAGGACGACCGCTGGACCAGAGCAATCACCGACTGGATTCCACGGGATGTCAAGCGAACGCCTGGAAGACTGCGATGGTCAGACTTCTTCGTGAAAGCTCTGAACGAATGGTATGAAGTTCATCGTGTCCCTCGAGCTGAGAGAGTTGGGCAACTCTTGCACGTTGCAGGGACGAATGGAGACGTTACTGGCGCCCGCTCGAGGAACTCGATGATCAACGGGAGCACAGGTGATACAGGTGATAGCAGTTGTGGTCGAATACTTTAGCTGAGTCACCTTCAGGTAGAAAAAGTTATATGATTATGTGACCTAGTCATGTGCACTGATGCAGTGGGCTCCCTTGGTAGAACCGGAGATCCTGCTCTAGAACGTCTACCCACAATGTTTGTAGGCTATCGATGACGATTTTATAACATCCACACAGTCTCAAATGGGCGAGTGTTTCGAATACGAATGATGGTGGTAGTAGATACCACAAGGCGTTCAATCCCAATACGCCAACATGAAAAATGTATCCAATTTATTTTAGTAATGCTTTAGTACGTTTCCTTCGCTACTGGTTGTCGTATGAAAGAGTGGATCCTTTTGCCTCTAAGGTGGGACCGTGGGGAGTATGGTTTGTATGGTTTGGTATTCCATGCGTGTTCCAGTTCCGATCACGTCATCGGAAGTGCCGGCGTGGATCGGGCGCTTGGCTGGGAAGCGTTCATTTCTTTAGCTCAAAACATTCTCACGCCTCTGAATAAGACGATAGCGTCGAAAGGTGAGGTCATCCTAAATATCGGTTCCAACTGAACCTTGCAAGGTACAGCAGGCAGTACTATCTAGAGAAACTATTACGCCACGGTTACAAAAGTTTGGAGGCTGTCAGGAGAAGGATACAGTAGGATAGGAGTAAAGAGTTGAAAAAGTGACCTAAAAATGGCATCAACATCAGGGATGTCGGCACCTAACACCTGGTTCTCCATTAAAAGTAAAGGCTTTTTCGTAAAATCATCATGTGCTACAGCTACCCAGCAGACCGGTAGCAGATCTACTTCGACATGAAGACCATTCGCGATTACATTGACGTCGGTTGTCTCTCGCCTTTTAGTTCCCGTATCCTTCTCTCAGGCAATTCATGTACACTACCTCTTTCGCATCTTTTTTCTTCGTCTTATGATGTCATGCTCAAAACAAATGCGGGGTCTTACTAAGGGTATTTTCGTCGGTATTATCTGCTTCTTTTTTGACTAGCAACAAGATTAGCACTTGTAACCTCGTGTTTAGGCTTCATTACGTGCAATTGGAAGTTGAAACGTAAGCCATGGGTAATGGTGGAGCGCTCACACGGTATAAAGTAAATCGAGCTAAGCAGACATAAAAATCACTCCAAACTTTTGAACTTAAGCTAATGAATCAGATGAAGTCAGGTTACTTGTTTGGTTCCAGCTGATTAAGGAACTCATTGAACTCGAAGTTTTCCGAAAATGCCTGCACCACATGCAGGCGATATCAGTATGATTTTCATCTTATGATGGGGAACAACAGATTCGTAATTTCTCACCCTCGGGGTCCTCCAAGTGTGGCAACCACTATGCGAGCCAGTCCACTCAAACTTTCAACAGCTTTGGAGTCCCCTACCTGAAACATACCACTAGAACTGACCAGTCAGTGGAAATTCTATCATTAAATTCAATACAGTGAACTAATTCTTATACTGGCAGTTCTCAAGCATCCTTATCGTGGAGTTCGGGCTTTGTTTTGCGATGCACTACGTTGTTCAGTTGAGAAACAGGAGTTTCATTATACCACTTTGGCTGTGGCGCGGTGGTGAAGTCCGCTCCTCCATGTGGTGCTACGGGGAACTGCTTGTTTCTGCGAGCTAAGCTGATCACATTTGAATGCAGACGACAGGCCTACGTGACCGATCGACCTCTGATCACCAATGCCACATCACTCATGTTTGACAATACCACAAGTTTTCCAAGTTAATGCCACGGAGTCCGTGGGAGCAGACACGCACTCGCAAGGCCCGGCGAGTGTAAAAAGTATGCGAGACTCTCCAATGCAAGGAGGGCATTGGGGGAAACTAAGCTAATCTAAAAATCGCGCAACGTCAGAACAATCTGCGTAGGAACGCTGAATGTCGGAACTTTGACGAGGCGCTCATGAGCTGACAGATGCTCTAGAGCGCAGACGAGCTCTAGAGCGCTCACGTGAGCGCAGAAGACTCTAGAACTTTGTGCGGTGCAGAAATCAAGATGTTGCAGTCGCGAGTCGAGGGACATTGGTTACGGGTTTGAAAAATTTCATGTCTCGAGTCAAGGATCACTAACGGGGTTGCTGTGATCGTCTTTCATTTTCTGTAAATCGATAGCGAATCTAGAGCATTTCGATGACCGCGAGATGAGAGTTGTTGTTGCTGTCGAGCAGCGACTGTGCCACGCGTTTTCCGCGTATTTTCAAGAGGGATACACCCAGCAATCCAAGAACGAGTTCTGGTCTCTGCTTGAAAAAAGTAGCTGAGATACCGTCAGAAGACGTCGTAATTGTTGCTGGTGACCTAAATGGGCACGTAGGCGCTACGAAAGACGGCTACAGTTGTCATGGTGGTTTCGGTTATGGGTCACGTAACGCATGGTGAGCAAATACCCGAGTATGCGAAGCCCATAATCTGGTCATCGTGAATACCAAGTTTCGCAAACGTGACTCCCACCTCATCAGCTTCTACAGTGGGAGTACCAAAACGCAGATAGATTTTGTCCTTGTTAGATATTGCGACCAAGGGCTCGTCACATGTGAAGAGTATACTGTACGAAACAGTCGACATCGTCCACTGATCTGTGCGTTGATCACATCGCCCAGGTCGAAACAGGTTGAACGATATGGTCCCAAGAGCATTAAATGGTGGCGTGTGAAAGAAGAGGGAGCGGTGAATCTTCATATCAGTTCCCACCGTCACGACTGTCGACGAAACCTGGAATGGTGCTGTCGAAGCGATACATGAGTCCGCTCGTTTCAAACTTGGGATCACGAAGTCTGGAAGGCGTAGAACTGATAAGCAGGTAAACCAACAGTGTCAGTGCTTCCGTCTATTACCAGGGGGCTCACCTAAAGCTATCGTTTCCTAGACCTAAAACCACTCTCAGACGAAACTTTTTCACTGTCAGAGCGGGACTTGCTTATTTGCGCCTCAACAAAACCGCTTCCATCCAAGGCTCTTTGGCATCATTAAGAAGGTCACTAGCTAAACAATTGCTTGCCTCATAGTTGTCGTTTGTTGTTTTTATTCATGTTTCCTTGGAGTTTGTATTCTGTTTCCGGGTTTTATTTTATTTCATGTTTTATTTTTAACGTTGCCTTACACAACGTACTGAATAAAGAATAAAGAATAAAGAAAGAAACCGTTTGAGAGAAGAAGAGGGGTTACCGATCGTTGACGATAAGTCAGCCGATAGCTGATGGAAGTACAAACAAGCGGAGAACGCAACGAAAAAGCCTGTCGCTGCTGTGTAAGCCACCCATTCTGAGGATGTCGGAGGTAAGGAAATGGATTCACGTTGTGGAGAGCGGCACCTTTAGCGACCTGCCAATTCTCGTCATCGCTGAACCGGAAATATGGAGAAATTCTCCGGCGTCAACGACAAGCAGGCCCGTCTTTTGATGGGTTAAAAGAGGATGATGGTGCGATAGCACAGCTTTTTTGAGTGCTCAAGTGTTGGCGGTAGAGGCAGTAGAACTCACCGGTGTCTTGCCTTCACGGATACTCAAGCCCATTGCTCTAATCGATCGCGTGAAAACTGTGTCGTAAATTGGTGACCAGTCCATGAAGTCTGGATTGTTGTAAGCAAGTCTAAAGCTTTCTTTTGCAGTTTCACCCCTGCTAAGGCAGCATAAAGTCGATGCGCATTTCGGATACATATGACTTACGTAGCAAAAAGGTTTGGTAATTCTGATCCCCATTTATCCCCCATTTCTACCACCTCATACATTTTCCACATAGTATCAAACCATAGAGCAGCACCGTATTTTTTGTGTTCCTGAACATTAATTTTGAAAAACATCTGAATGGAATATTTTAAACAAGTTACATTACTTCAGTGCTCATTCTGATAGGTAAGAACAACAAGGCAAGATCGCAAAATTCTTTCGTCGAATAAACAGGAGATAGATGGACTTGAATCTGAAAATTAATATAACCGCATAAGGAGATAGATTTAACTGCAGTCACTCGTGGGCCTAGTATACATAACGCATAAGACAGCGTTCAGACTTCGCGACGGCAGCGCTTCGGCGCGATCGATGCGCATGCTTTCTACTGCATCGATCGCGTCGAACGCGCGATCCAAGCGCTGCCATCGCGAAGTCTGAACGCTGCCTAACGCACAGCAAAGTTTCGACGCTAAAGCCCAGCGCAATAAAAGGAGTTCCTCTACGAATCACCATATATTAGAATTTCGACTCATGCTATATTCTTCA